AAAAAAAAAAAAAAAAAAAAAAAAAAAAAAAAAAAAAGAGGGGGGGGGGGGGGAAGCATTCACCAACAACTTTACTGGGCTCCAGCCTCACACTTCCCCAAGGCTTGTGGGAAAAGCCAGGTCTTCACAGCTTTTTGGAAGGTAAGGAGAACGGGGGCCTCCCAGATCTCAGGGGGAAGCATGTGTCAAAGATCAGGGGCAGCTACTGAGAAGCTCTGCCTAGGTCCTGCTAGATGGCAACATTTAAGGAAAAGGACCTGGAGCTCACTCGCCCTATCAGACCTAATGGAAGAGGCAGAAACCCTCAGGGAGAGGCGGTCCTGCAACTAACCTGTGCCATTCAGGGCTTTAAAGGTAATAACCAACACCTTGAACTGCACCTGGAAAAAAACTGGAAGCCAGTGCAGCTTACACAAAATTAGTATAACGTGGGTGAATCATGGAGTGCCCAAAAGTGCATGTGCCATTACATTCTATACCAGTTGTAATTTCCTGATGGTCTTCAAGGGCAGACCTATAGAGTGCATTGCAGTAATCTAACCAGGAAATGACTAGGGCGTGAGTAACCATGGCAAGTATATAAATGTAATCCACTTTTGGTCAGGCCAGGAGCCAGTTCATTTATTACCAAATTGCTATTCAGATTCTCATGTATTTTTTTTTATTTTGTTGTAGGTCACCTTTGGAGAACATCATCTTGAAAGGCAGTTTGATGAAACTTCATTACAAGGGGTGTGTACAAAACAGAAAATACATTTTGTTTCAAGCCTGAAAAAAACCCCCCACACATTGTTTTTTGGATGTTCAGCCAAACCATTCAGGGTAGGCTGCAATTCAGTAGAATTGAAACCCAGAACATTTTGGCTGTTCTGTATTTTGGATGAAACAAAATCCAGAGGGATCTTAGGTGATGAGTAAGGCAAAGCTGGTCCACCTTGTCTTTCCCTCTCATCCTCCCCAGCATGGCCTGTATGCCTCCCTCCTCTTAACTGCCATGTGTCATTTGCCAGCCCTATCAGGTAGAGCAGACTACAGAACAGACACCATGCAGACCTAAAGCTACTTTTATTAGAACAGCTATAGTAACAGAATCTTTGCAAGTCTGAATGTGCTACCTTTTCTCTTTTATCTTCATGAGAATGGGGTTGGGGGGGCTGTCTGAGGCTTTTTTACAAACTACTTTTTTGGCCTGGGCTCAAGTTTTGTTTATCTGATTATTGTCTTGATAGAGAATCTTCCCTCTGTCCTTCAAGGCCGTCCTCTTTATTCACTACACACTACAAATACCCTTAGCTTCCAGCCTGCCCTGCCCTCCCCTCCCATGGATCTTCTCAACACTGTCTTTTCCCTACCTCCCCTTAGCTGCCACTGCATACCATTCAAGATGCTCTTGAATTCTGGACAGCCATCTCTCTCCCAGTCATCCCAGTGCTTTCCTACTGCTCCTCAGCCATCGCTGCCATTGTTGGCCTTTTCCCACTCTCCATGCTGCCTCCCACCTACCATCCCTGCAATATTAAACACTCATGTTTAACACCATGCATGTTTCAGCCTGGACACAGAGCACCTGAAACTGCTGCTCTACTCATGGAGCGTTAGTGCATGAAATGTTTTGCACATCGCTATGTTTTTACACTAAGTTCTGTATTACACTAAAGAGCACTATTTTGACGATGATCAATGTAGCCTTGCTCACAATTTCACAATGGCTCATTTAGATAATGAGGTTTGCTTTTATTTTGACTTTGCATGGTATGTGAAGTCAGCCAATTATAGGCTATTCAGTAAACCACAGGTAAACAAGCCATCTACTACCAGCAGAATTAGAGCATCTTCCAATAGCAGGATTGAACCAATAGGTATGAATAGAAAAGTGACGCTTCAGTATATTATACCAATGTCTATAAATTATCTTGTTGAAAACACTTGTATTTAGTTTGTGCCTATGCAACAATCCCAAATCCAGGGAGATTTTAGCTAGAAATCTTCCAACAGCCAAATATAATCATGTCCCTGAAAACAGCAGAAATGTCCGACTTTTTCTCCCACATGAAAACATCATTCTCCAACTCACCATCTCGAGAGGTGCCGCCACACAGTGAAAGTCCCAGTAGAAGGGCAATCCTGAAAGTTCACTCTTCACATGGAGTATCAGTGTGCTGGAGCTAAGCTGACAGGAGAAAGAGACGCAGCTGTTCTCTTTCCCTTCCAGAAGGGGACATATCAGGTTGCGCAGGCGGTTCAGGAAGGAGGTTACATGAGCAGTCAACCGTTTATTTAGCTCCTACATAAGATGAAATAACAATAATAATACTCTTCAAAGAAGAAAGTATGATCTCCTCATGTCATAGATCTGTAAGTAAGCACCTGAACTCTCCAGAAGCTCCAGAGACCATACTAAGACATCTCTGCAAAACCTGACTCAATTGTTTTATTTTTTAAAAAAATTCTATCCTGCCCAATCCAAGAGTAATGTTTTTTAAAACTATATTTGTACAGACTGGATATCTTTCTTAATAATAGGTTTGTTGCAGGAATATCCCATTGATTTTATTTTATTTTTTTTTAATTTTTCATTTCAGACATGGATGGCCTGGATTACTTTTTCCTAGTGAATTGAAGAAACAAGGTAACAGTTTATACAACATCTGCTTCTTGTAATTCAAAATCTCCTCTCTGCAGATTCTTTTTCTTAGGATTTTCCTTTAAACAGAGGATAATAGGATATCTGCTGAAGTGGATTGATCAGGTTTTTTCCAGCTTCCCCCCTCCCATAACCCCCCCCCCCATGTCTTAAACTACAAATTTCACTATCCAGTTGTGAATGTTTTAAGTTATATTCCAACACATTTGGGAAGCACCAAACTGGAGTAGAATAAAATACACTGTGTGTTCATTTCATAACTCTAGTTTTTTACCTACCTTTGACCTCTGTTGTATCACTTCAGCATTTGCACTTTCATACCACATATTATTGAGGTCAGAGAGGAGCAAGATATAGCTAGCATCACTAAACCAAGCCTTAGCCATCAATGTGGTAGACTCAGAAAAACAAACTGAAGCCCAAGGCTGCAGAAGGAGTTTAATCTCTGGATCCTCTGAAGTCTCCATCCTGTAAATAATAATGTCATTCAGTTTCATTTATTTAAATATGTTATGTCTTTCTTCTATGCACTAAGCAATCTGAAGATACTGGCAAAGCTCTGCACAGATCTATCATAGCCCACCAAAGTATAGGAAAATGTAGCTTTAAAATTCCAGATTTTGATGGCATGTTCTGTTTTTATATTTGAAATTGGAAATCTGAGTTTTCATTCTAAAAAAACATGGTCTGCATTCTGATACATTTCATTAAAAGCTCTCAATTTATTGCAAGTTCAAATATAACATGGCTTACTCCAGACTTGCCTGCAGATTTTTTTCTTTTTCTTGGGAGTAAATAGATGCAAAGCCACCCAGCTAGATACTATCTTGAGATCATAAACTAATGCCCAGATATAATTTTAGTGTTGCCTCCAGGTAGATTCCTGTGTTCCAAGGTAAAATGGCAATAGACAGCCTATAGGCCCCAGCCTGCCTGATAGTTACGTTCTGGTGATGATGCCTTACTGTCTGGTGCTACATACTGTACTTCCAGTGGAAAATTAGCAGATCCCCTCTATGAAAGCTTTTTACAAACTTTTACTGAAAGTTAATAATTTAGGGGGTTGTCCCACCCAGATGCTCCCCAGATCTCCCTTTTTAAAATCATCTGACCTAACTACTGTTGATTTTAGTGCTTTACTGTAACCATTTTTGTGTTTTTACTGTTTCATGTTTTCTGTGTTTATGTTTAATTGTATTTGTTTATTTTATTCATTTTGTCTGCAAATCAGTTTGACATTCTTTTAATGAAAAGCAGTATAAAATATTGTAAATAAACAACAAAGCACGCCACATTATAAAAGGCTATCAAGCTGGTAAAAAAAAGTGGTGAATGGAGGATTAAAGTTTGAGAGAAAAATGCAAAACATTGAGGTTCCAGAACAGCAAGGGTAACAGAGTGCTGATATTTCTGTCTTCATTGTTTGCAATAGTTTACCCAGCAACATACATTTTAAAAATAAAATTATTTGTAGCTTGATCCTGTACAATTTGACTCAGAAGTGACATGCCTAGGATTTCACATTCTGATAGTGTAGGAAGATTTGACTAGTTCTTCATTAGCTCAGACTAAATCATACAATCTGCAATAAAATTTGATTGAGAATACATCCAGGGATAACTCTATAAGTATTAATTAAGGGGCAGCAACTGAAAAACAAAAATACTATATAAGCAACAAAGAATCTGAGCTACATTGGATTCTAATGATTAAAAGCAGGGGAAGCCACCAGAGAAAGAAACATCTGACTTATGTAACTGCTTTCCTTTCAAAAATTCCAAAATCCTTCTAAAGTCAGTCACTTTATAGACCAACTCAAAATCACAAAATAGTACACAGTGTTCAAGGTCTCCAGAACTTGTCACCATGCAAGGTAGTGAAGGAAGCAAAATATGAGAAAGAGAAAAAGATATTCTAGCTATGAAAGGCTGCATTTGGATACAGTGCAGACTTTAGGGGAAATTTGGGGATATTCTGCGAACAGCCAGATTATATTCTGTCAGATATTGAAATAGTTATTCAACCTGAATAACCGCACCGAATTCGTCTTTAAAGTGTTTCTCAAAGGGGGGAAAGGTTTATTCGAAGGCAAGACCCAAGAGGGGCAGCGTAAGTGGGAAAAGGGCTTGGAAAGGAAGCGAAAGGGGAGGAACCCTACCGGCACGGCCAGGTAGCGGGAAGGAGGGGTCCACAGACAGGTTGCAGCAACAGCCTCCCTCGGCTTTGCTCTCACAGCATTTTGTCAGCAAAGGCAGAAGAACTGCAACCGCCGGGATGGCTTTTTAAACAGCGCTCCAAGGGCGATACTCATCCCGGATATAGCCTTACGAAAGATTTCAGCGGCTAGAAACTCTTATTCCCACAATTCCTTCCTCGTCTCCCAAGGCATGCCGGAAATTGTAGTCACGTGGAAAGGGGCGCTGCTGAGTGAACGCAGATCAAGCGGGGCGTCGTTTGTTTCTTTGTGTCAAAGAATTAGGGATGCGGACGGCGGGAGGAAATGCTTCAGAAATGTTGTATTTCCGTGCTTGTGCTGACTGCGCTGCCTTAAAATGCAAATATGCAGGCTCCCTCCGCACGCAGCACGTCTGAAGTTACTCGGAGGGAAGCGGGAAGAGGAGGAGGTCCCGGAAACAGCCCTCTTGCTCCTGCTGCGCCTTGGGGCTGTTTACTACCCGCCTCCTGCGGCCGAAAGCGGGCACGTACCTCTGCTCTCTAAAAACAGGCACGAACGTGGCACCTGAACGCCTGTAGTAGAATAATGGTAAAGATGCAGCCTGTACTAATCCAGCGCTCCAAAAGACAAAGATCTGCTTTATTCTTGAAACAAAAGTAGAAAAAGCTATTTATTTGCTATCTATAATTTGCTGTTGGTTTGAGAGAGCAACATAAAGCCAAAAAAAAAAAAAAAATAGACAGCCGCTGTCTGCCTTAGCTTTATTATCTAAATCAAATACAAATATTTTTTTCTCACGTTAATCCATAAACTGAGTGATAGACCAGATAAAGGGATCTTGATAAGTGACTCATTTGTTGAAAAAATAGTCCTGACGTGGAAAGTCACTTGTCATTAGAGCCATTAGCCATTTCTAAGCCATTAGAAAATGACTTAGCAGCCCAGATCTGACAGTCCTATTGTTAATGACGCTGTGTTTTGTTTCTATGTTTTATACATTTTAAAATATGTAAAATAAATAAAAAATATTTTTATTGTAAAACCCAATATACGTAATAGCAGTGTGTGGGACCTTCAGAATGATTGGACTCAGACAATCTCAGCCTAAGCCAGCAAGGATGATTGGAATGTAGTCTGACAGCACTGGGAGGGACACTGCTCTAGCTACAGGGTAATCTCTGAGCAGTATACAAATTCTTCCATTGGATACTTAAAGATTCAGATACCTAAAGATGAAAGAGAAGTACACAAAAGATTCATCAAATTCATTCCACAACACAAACATTTTAATATAACTGGAATCTGAATTCTGGTCTAGGTTTGCACACTGCCCACCTTAGTGTGGAGTAACTATATTCCCGAAAGCAGAAAAATAAAATAAAACTTCTTAAAGCAAGTTGTCAGAGAGGGAAACAAACAAGCAGAAAACTGAGGAAAATACATGCTAAAGGAAGAATTCTAAAATAAAAGTTTAATGCAGATTGTCACATTGTTTTTAAGTTTGTTTCCAAGGTAGTCTGAATACAAAATGCTTGAAATTTCAAAGTAGCTTATAAAGTCTTTGTAGAATATTTTTATATGGAAAAGGATTATTTTTAAATCAACACAGAGGAATTATCTCATGAACCATTGGTCTACCATGCTTATGGTTCTCCAAATTCCCTTGCATAATTTTAGACTCCTCCTCTGCCTCCAGCTCCACTTCTGATTCCAGCTTCACTGTTCCCCTTTTCACCAATAGATCTGTGGTTTCTCCTTCTAAATGTTGCAGTTTTTCCAAGGGATAATGGTTCATAGTTTCCTGTTTGTTTTCCTCTAGGGGACAGAGAAGACAGAAAGGAAAGCCTTTACACCATGATGATGGCAAGCGCTTTTGTGGAATTAGAGGTAGTTCACATCTTTGTGCAGACTCCTCCTCCTTTCTGTGTTGAAGTGAATTCCTTCCAGCTTCTAGATTTCCTGATGACAGATGGTTGAGTAGTCCACGCTCTTGCAGAGTACCTTGAAAAAAAAGGCACATCAATTCAAAATATCTATAAATATAAGTTGTAATTATGAGGAAATTTGATCTTTTGGTGTCATGGCTCCACATCTTTTTCACTGTTTGTAAAATAATATAAATTGCACCTTTTGGCCCTCAAGGCAGTTTACAGTGTTAAAACTTATAAACCAGAGAGCACTGTAATAAGCAAAACAAATCCATAAGCAGCTAAGAATCAAATAAATCAGATTTGGTAGAAAATGTGTTCTGACTTGCTCCCTAAAAACTTTAATAACAAGACCTAGTTAACATTTTTAGGAGATAATTTTAAAAAAAGGTGTCTCAACTGAGAAAGCCATATTTCACAGTCTAGGCAAGTATACTTCTGTTGGAAGAATGCAACATAGTAATGTCCTATCTCTGAAAAGCTTTGAACAACCTTCAGAATAATGATTAAAATGCCAATTAGAAACTTAAAGTTAACAGTTATTTCCACTAATCAAGAAATGTGTAAAGAATTTTCAGCAATGTGACTAATTCAAACCGCTTACCGGAATAGCCACAAATATAAATATTACTATATGTAGTAATTACTGTCCTCTGGTAATAAGATATAATTATGAATAATTAACATTAGAACACCAGCTACAATAACTCATCAAAATAAGAAAATCTGCCTCCTCACCTGAGACTGTGTTTTCCAAGAAGAAGGATAGGAATCCAGTTATAAAAGAAGGAACCATCAACAAAGAAAGGAGAAAGAGGTCTAATGGGATACAGCCTGTAGAAAGACCATCGCTGTTAGTTTAACAATGTCATATTCTGGTGCCTTATGCATAACATTTCCCAGAGTTGATCTAAGAGTTTAATTCATTGGATCTACAAAGGGTCAAAATGTTATTTCTACAAAACATTACTGAACAAATGGAGGGTTTTTTAGATTTTTTATATCCCACCTTTATTATTTTTTCTATAAGTGATTCAAGGCAGAGAACATACCTAATATTCCTTCCTCCTCCTATTTTCCCCACAACAACCACCCTGTGAGGTGAGTTGGGCTGAGAGAGAGTGACTGGCCCAAAGTCATCCAGCCAGTTTTTTCATGCCTAAGATGGGACTGGAACTGAGTCTCCTGGTTTCTAGCCTGGTGCCTTCACCACTACATCAAATTGACAAATGTTCTACTCTCACTGAGTGTTTCTGTAAGTAGAGAAGCAGGATCAACATATTTTAAGTAAATCATTTAGTAATCTTACTTTCATTATCCCTGAGAGTTGTCTATTTATCTAGGAGATGAATCTAATCGAGTATTAAAAAGACCAGATATTGGGCCTTCTAGATTTATTATTTATATTTCTTACAAATTTTTTATGATGTAATGAAGGCTAATTTTTACCACTTAAAAATAGTTGCCATATTAAAATGCCATTTAATAAGAGGAGGAATGAAATGAATAAATTGACTTGTATTTACTAATTGCAGCAATCCAGGGAAATAAAGCATCCTTTAGATGTTCAAAAAAATGCCTCCTAAATAATTTAATCTTCAAGCAAAGACTTAAAAATTGAAGTGGCAATATAAAATGATACTTTTTCACTCACTTTTGCTCAAACAGAGCTTTTACCTAGTAATCAGACTAGAAAAGGAATTCCTAAACAATGATCCCACTGCCAGGAAGGTCCAAATCTCCACATACTGAGTAATACATGAATAAAGCCTCATTTGCACATCTTAATACTTAGGAAGCTTCATATTGGAAAGATAACATGTTGAACAATTTATCTAAAATTATTTTTTTCTGTTTCTCTTTAACTTCAATACAGCTTAACTCAGAGGTCTAGATCAGGGGACATTTAACTGAAGATATAAGTTCTTTCATTATTATTAACTTCAAAAAGAATTACTTGTAATTAAAAGACTCAATTCACACATGCCCAAAAATGTTAGCTTGGGAAAGTAACATGTTTCACTGAAAATATTATCATTAAAAGTGATTTTATTTATTTATTTATTTATTAATCTTATTTACTCTCAGAATGAGTTAACATATGCAGAGTTTCTATGTGCTCTCTAGATATTCTGATTATAACTCTTATTACACTCAGCCAGCATTAGAAATAGACTTGCTAGCTGGGGATGAAAGGAGTCATTAATATAAAACATCTGGTAAAAACTTCATGGCTTTTTGATTCGTCTTGCAAAATACTTCTTACAGTTCTGAGCATGCAGAAATCCTCACCCAGTACCTGTGGTAAGGGATTCAGGTGCACCAAATAGCCACTTCGGAACCAGTAGTCCCATGAACATGGTGAAGCCCACAATGAAGATATTCCTGCCCGAATCAATGTCTGTGTATTGGAAGTAGGAGACACCGGTACCCACAGCTACACTGTATGTTACACAAAGTACTCCTCCTGAAGATAGCATGGGAGATCAAAGAAAGACCCCCCCCAAAAAAAGAGAACAGAACAAAATTTAACTGATAATAGAACAGGGTAGCAGAATTAAGAGTAATTTTAGATGGCCATCTCCTGGTGGTACCAATCAACAGGAATTCTGCAGGTTTTCCATCTTTTCCTTTTTAACAGTTATTTATTTATTTATTTATTTATTTATTTATTTATTTAGCAGTAAGAAAAAAGATGGAAAAATTCTAATGGATGTTACAAATGGTGTTACAAATGGAACTCAGTATTTACACCCCTGTCCCCATAACATTCCATAAATAAGGCAGGGCGATAAAACCTTGTCAGGAAGCACTCACAATCAGGAACTGCACCCTGACATTTTCTGAGAGTCTAGCACTACTAAAAATGACCATGCAGAGCCCCTGTCTGCAGAGATAAAATTCCAGAACTACCTACTTTTTCCTTTAATTTTGATTTAGGCTAAAAAAGAGGCAGCACCAGTTCACCTCTCTGATGTGAATAAGCAGATGGTGATCCAAGATACCCCAACGTATTGAAAGGGAGATATACAGGAAGCATTGATTACCATGAATTCCAAGTGGGATGGTGGTAAGAAGTCCCATGAGCTGGGGAGAGAGGCCCAACACTATGCATGCCAATGCACCAATCCTCACTGAGCGGAATGAGGTCGCCTGAATATGGGAAACAGGGTAAAAGATAATCTCCTACTAAGTTGGTCTCATGGACATTACCTCATAGATCTCTCTACCTCCACAGAATAAGGGAGAGGGC